CCGTCGCGCGCGCGCATTTCGCTTGCAGCTCGTACCTATGCCATTTCTTTTGTATCGCCTTTCCTTCTTCAATACACCTTCTACTTCTTGCAGTGCTTTCTTTCTTTCCTACCTATCCACTGCTTTAACTGATAATACTTGCTTTGCTATTACCAAAGCTGAAAATAAAATTAGACTACAACTATACACCCCAAAACACGTCCCATTTCCATTATTTGCTTACAAGAAAATATTGAGTTGGGAAACTACAATTAAAATATTCATGGGACACAGTGATAAGATTTAAGGCGCCGGGCAAAAAGACGCCCTAAGTTGCCCTATCTTTGGAAGGTTTTCCCCGACACCAAAGAAAGAGGACGCCTCAAATATCTCGCCAAGGACACCAGGTAAAATGGGTCGTCGGATATCGGCGCCTACGGTACCCTCTAAGTTACCCTTTCTTTGGAAGATTTCCCCCAACACCAAAAATCTCGCCCAGCGCAGCCAGCCCTTGAGCAAGAGCGGGATATGCATACCTGTCGAATAGGTTGATAGCACTGACAAGTACATCAGCAGGCAGGTCGAACCACACTTTGAGACAGCGTAGTACGTGTGCAGCGCCGTCTCGTGCACCTATCGTTACCTCACCACTCTGTGAATGAAAACTTATAAGTCAAACAAGGAGAATAAAGCTTTTAAAATGTAGATTTACAGGATGATAAAACATTTGGGATCATATTTATAACTAACAAGCTGTCGCCCGCGACTACGTCCGCGCGGTATTAGAAAAAATCATAGTAGCCTATGTGTTCTTCCAGACAATGTTCTATATGTATGACAAATTTCCTCGAGATCTGTTCAGACGTTCTGGATACCTTTATACATCCATCCATTGTAAGACAAGAGACAAAGACGCCATATAAATATTTCATTTCTAAACACTTAACGCGTATTTAACTACTTTTGAAACCGACATGTTACATAAGATCTCATCTCTATGCGAAGTTTAACCTCGTAAGTTTTGAAACGTTTCGTACATAACAATTGTAAATAAACAAATGTGTTTTCATTGACGAAACACACGTTTGCAACACCCTAGCTATCATCCGCGACTCTCCGCGGAATTAAAATAAAAACTTATTAGCCTATGTGTTCTGCCAGACTATGTTCTATATGTATACCAAATTACAGCTTCTAACAAACATCCATCAAAGCATTCCCATCTTACTAATATTATAAATGCGAATGTTTTGATGTATAGAAGGTATCTGTAGAACGGCTGCATGGATCTTGATGAAATTTGGCATAGATGTAGAACATAGGCTACTTATTCAGTTTTTTATAAGCGCGTAATTTCGTATTCGAGTTAAAAAAAAATTGCGTTAATACTTGCAAATTCTCAAACAGGTCGCTTTGTTTGAATAAATTTGAATAGTAAACAATGGTAAAATGTAATTCACAGTTAACTTCCTAGTTTTTAAAATAACTACAACAACATACGTCACAAACAGATTGTTAAATTCGTCAATTTATAATCAGTCTATATAATGTCAACAAAAGTAAATGAATATAACATATACAATTTTGATTATAAATAGCTGTGTCACGCGACTCTGTCTGTGTCGAAAAAAAAACCTAGTTATTAGTCTATGTGTTCTTCCAGACTATGTTCTACATCTATGACAAATTTAAACGAGATCTATGCAGCCGTTCTTGAGTTATCTTCAAACAAACGTGCATCCATCTAAACATCGCCATCTTACTAATATAATAAATTGGAAAGTTTAGATGTATGCATGTTTGTTAGAAGATATCTCCAGAACAGCTGCATGGATCTCGCTGAAATTTTGTCATACATATAGAACATAGTCTGGAAGAACACATACTTATTAAATATTCCTTTAATTCCACGCGGACAGAGTCTCGTGTCGACAGCTAGTTTATAACCTTAACAAATTAAATTCAACAGACGACAAAACGGTTTCATTTATTTAGGTCAAGGAATGACGTGTCACCAAACTATTAAGAAATGCCTCAATGTACTATATTTCATGGGGACAGAAGACATTCGCTAGGGGCCGAATTTAGGTCAATCAATAAACACTTTTATACAGAAGATTTAAGTGAAAATTATAGCTTTTAAGCCTTGATATCTTAAGGGTTAACACGTTAGCCGCCATGTCGGACTATACGTCCGACAAGCCATACTTCCATTCAACAATGTGGCTTTTTAATCGAACTGTATACAGCGTGAGCCCGCAAGGCCCCATTCAAAAGGTTTTGGACAAAATTAAAAAAAAAATTTTTTTTTTCGTTTTTCGAAAAATCATTATGGCAGCTAACGTGTTAAGCACTAGACTTGTCTGCCGGTCCTGTGTTCGAATCTGGCTATGTACAAATGTGTAATGAATAGATGGTAAATAGTTTGAACGTATCTCCAAAACGGCTGCTTGGATCTCGATGAAATTTGGCACACATATAGAACATAGTCTGGAAGAACTCATAGACTACTAATTAAGTTTTTTTGTTTAATCCCGTTTAGACGGAATCGCGGTTACAACTAGTAACCTTAAAGTCCTCCTTCCCAAGAACCATGGTACAAAATAAATGTGGGATTGAGTCTGTTGGATTGTTTTTTTTTTATTTATTAGAACCGTTAATCATTTGTTTAATTCAACTTAATATAAGGTTAAAACGCTTTACAGCCAAGGTTTAAGAATTACAGATATACAGGATGTTTTTAATAAATAAAATTAATACTATTGAGATGTATTCACTAATGTATCACCACTCAATATAATACACAAACACGATGTTCATGTAACAACGTATATTTTTAAATTTTATGATTATAAAAGTAAATATTATTTTGAAACACCATGTATAGTATATTTTTCGCAAGAATCGACCTCCGCTCTATGTAAATGGTACGTAACAAGGTCAGTAGCGATAAAAGAGTTTCGCTGTATAAATAAGACAGGGGCAACAAACTACGGCCCGCTATTTTACTAATATTATAAATGCGAATGTTTAGATGGTTGTTTGCTTGAAGGTATCTAAAGAACGGCTGAACGGATGTTGATGGAATTTGGCATACATATAGAACGTAGAGTACGGAAGAACACATAGGCTAATTGTTTTTAATTTCGCGCGGACGAAATCGCGGGCGATCGCTAGTTTTGAATAATTTTAACTCTGATAGGAACCGAATTTTATTGTTTATTAACTTCAAAACAATATTTTAATCTATTGTTTTTTATTTACAATTATAACTTCTTAAGTGATGTCATTTTGTCGAATAGTGCGACTTTATCCACTAAATAAGTAGGATTACTGCATCAAATTAGCTTGTTAAAGAAATAAAACGTAGTAATAAATACGTTCAGTACGTTATTATAACATCCTTGTATTGCATTGTAATACTTGTATGTATGTCAGTGGGTCAAGACTTATTTATATTTTCAACGCGGCCCTTGATAAGAGAAATTTGAGTACCCCTGCTATCGGTGGCAATAGTTTTAATACGCAATACTTTAATATACTTTAACGTAATAAAATATAAGAAGAGACTTAAATATAAATACGAATGTATGGATGTATGTTATGTTAAGAAGAGAATCCGAAAATGTGGCAGTGTACTGACCCAACACTAGCCTTACTAAAATGTCGACGTTCGTGTCCCCTCACTATTCATTCTGACACTGGACTTTGTAACAAAAGCAAGTAATTCGCGCCTCACAAGAAATTCTTGTGTCACAATTTTCGTTCCCATACTCCTCCGAAACGGCTTGACCGATTCTCATGAAATTTTGTGAGCATATTGAGTAGCTCTGAGAATCAGACATCTATTTTTCATCCCCCTAAATGTTAAGGGTAGTCCACCCCTACATTTTATTTTTTAAAGACAAACACGCGGGCGGAGTCGCGGGCAACAGCTAGTAATATCTAAAAGTTAGAAGGCATCTCCAGAACGGATCTTGCTGAAATTTGCCACAGATTTGAAACATTATCTGGCAGAACACATAGACTACTATTTTTTTTTCGCAGGGACAGAGTCGAGGGATACAGCTCGGGAACCTACATTAAATAATGATAATACAAAACTCACCTCAGATTCATCAGGAAGACACAACCTGGGTTGGAACTTATGTTCCAATTGTAGATATTCGTTAAGCGTTGCGTATAATTGTTCAGGTCTATCCATTGTGTCTGTTGACGAGCTGGGTACACTATCTTCAGCACCCGGGTGCCTCGCGCCCGCTCGCGACATCTCGCCCGGCCTGGCGGTATCGAGCAAAGGGTGAATCGGCACCTATAAAAACAAACATTTTCCTTTATTCCACTCAATAGATCAGTGGACCTAACACGAACATTTGCGATAATTAGTACGACATTTTTGGTTGAATTTAAAAAAAAAATCGATGACGATTCTCGAAAATATTCGTGCTAGGCCCTCTTTGACTTATCTTTCTATATTTCAGTCGTCAAAGTTAGAAATTTAAACTCTTTTTCCCTCTCTAGTTATATCAAGCAATGTATACCACTTCTTAAGGCCGAAATTAATATTCGGAATTTAATAGATTCAAAAATTTTAATTCCTTAAAATGTATATGAGGACAGACAATATTTAAAGCCCTCGTAAAAGTTTATTTCATTTATCGTTGATTTCTGCTATCAACTAGAATCTAACACAATGTTGTCTAAAATTGACCTCTATAAATGGATAGGCGATTACGACTTATAATAGTTGGACAAATTGTTATGTTATGTTATTTCATAACGAATTTCAAAAATGCATACTGACAATACCTTTGGATAAGTCACAAGATTGTCGCGTGTCAGTTCCATACATTTTTGAAGTTCGATATGGAATAACTTCGAAGCGAATGCACTTTATATCTAACCCCGCAGTTGATGTTACGTGACAGTTAATCTATTTTAGATCGAATCCACACCACCTTACAAACCAGTACAATCAAGCTCCAAATACCAAAAATCAAATAGACACAAAAAACTACGTCTCATAGCCCGTCCATTTACAGAGGTCAGTGGTCAAAGACAACAATAAACAATAGACAACCTAGTACAATCACAGCACTTACCAAAGCTTGTGCAGGAGAAGAGCTATATGCGTCAAATCCCCCCTTTGCGGTCGCGCCGATTCCCCCACTGCCCGACCCGTGGGTCCCAGCGACCGGGCGACGAGGCCTAGTACCTGACAAGAGAGCGTCGACTGTCAGCGCTGACCACTCCATGGTAAACCACAGAGCGCTCCGAATAAGGATGAGACCAAAGGAGAAGAGGGACTGAGTAGTCTTGGTACTTATACCAAAGGATCAGGATACTTGGTATAATAGTAGGTGTTTGGGAAAGTATGGAAGGAATTCCCTATTGGGTTACCGGGTACAATGTCTTGTTGAAAGACAATTGCCCAGCCACCTAGCGCCTGGATGTCAGGTTACTCGCAGTAATGGTTGAACACTACTGCCCGGCCCGGCTGTCGTAGACTACAATAGCCACTGCAGACTACACTTCAGCCTTCAGTAGACTACACTTCAGCCTGTAGGTAGACTACACTTCAGCTTGTATGTGGATTACACTTCAGCTTGTATGTAGACTACACTTCAGCTTGTATGTAGACTACACTTCAGCCTGTAGTAGACTACAACAGCTAAACTACAATATAAATAATTATATATCGCCACGGTCTATCCCGATCCCGCTAGTATACACTGGGTAAACACCCTTGATACTATTTTTATGTCTCGCAAAGAGATAATGGGATCTCTTGATGAGGGATATAATAATAAACAAAACAATACCTGTAAAATATTAATTATAAATTATTTATTGCAAAAATTTAAACATCCATGCGGCCATTTTAATATTTAATATACAATTCAACAGAATTCACAATAATCTTACTCTTACTAATATTATAAATGCGAATGTTTAAATGTATGTTTTTTTGAAGGTATATCTAGAACGAATACATGAATCTCTCTGAAATTTCTCATAGATGTAGAACATAGTCTGGAAGAACACATAGACTATTAAGTTTTTATTTTAGACAGCTAGTTATTAAAATAACACCAGATCTATTTTATAAACTATTAGCCCGCGACTAAAAAACTGCTTCTGAGCGTAATTAAAAAAAAAAACAATAAATAGCCTATGTGTTTTAGACTATGTTCTACATCTATGCCATTTTTGTTTTATATCATAAGGTGGCAAACGAGCGAGCGGTCACCTGAAATCGCTGAAATAGCGAAGTGACCGTTGCCCATAGACTTACGCAATTGCATATACGTTGTCTACCTTTAATCGACGGAGAAGAGGATGCACAGAAAGAAATTTTTTTCTCTTTCCATGCATCTTCTCTTCCGGAAAGTCCACTTCCACTTCCCATCCTTTCATTATAAGAAAAAGGGCAGGAAGGGAAAGAGGATTAAATTAGGCCTCCGGGGCGCACACTCATCAGACTGTATGCGGAATTGCTTCCACTTGACGCCTGTCTTCTGTGTGGTCGTGGTATTTCACCGGGCGAGCCGGGCCGATTCGTGCGAAGATGTTAAAGCGGGATCTACCACTGTTAATTTTTGTACTGTTAAAATTTCATCAAGTTCCATTGAGCCGTTTAGGAGATATCTTCAAACATACATCCAAACATTCATATTTATAATATTAGTAAGTATTAAGATGTCTCTATAAACATATTTATCAACAAATATAACGTCATACAAGGAAGCGTTTTGCGATACACAATGATAAATATATTTTTACATTAGATAAATGTACTACAGAGTCTAGACGCTATGGAATATTTTGTAAAAATCGTCAATAAACTTACAAAAAGGTCGTTAGGACGAAGGTACTTAAAACAATTCTTATCAAGTTTTTTTTTTATCTTATATTTGCAAGATTCTCGTCTGGCCTTGGCAGTCAATACACGCGGGCGGTGGCTGACAACTCAGGGTTGTCACCTATTAAATTTAAACTAAATTATTTATATCGTATTTAATTTTAGATTGTTTAGTAACCCTGGAGTTTTAAAAGTGAAAATGTAAACACTAGCTATCTCGCGACTTTGTCCGCGCGGAATTAAAACATAATTAGTTGTCTATGTGTTCTTCCAGACTATGTTCTATATGTATGACAAATTTCATCGAGAACCGTTTTCCTGTTCTGGAGATACCTTAAAACAAACATCCATCCATCTAAACACTCGAATTTATATTAGTCAGATTAAAAAAAACATAACTTGCTATCCCATGATAACAATTTCTACTTCTAAGATTTTTAAACATCAACATCACGTGATTTGAAACTAGTATTTATGTATTTTTTCATTGTTAATCCTATTATGAACCTTATATTAGCCTAATACAAGAAATTCATCAACTATTACGTACAAATATTTGGCAATAAATTTAATTAATCTTTTGACAACCCTAAATTATAACGAGCTTGTTTTTATCACTTGTGCCGAAAAAACATCCGACTGGCATTCGCTAACAATTTCGATAGATCACGTCACACCTCTATATGTTTTCAAGCAAAATATTTCTGCCCTTCTATCGGTAGGGCAATTTTTATTAAACTATCAGTGCCCTAGACTTCGTCCGCGTGAAATCTTGTTTTTGGATAGCATTTTAATTTTATAGGCTACTTATTTTACTAACGCTTATAATACATAACAAAACACATATAAAACATATTTTCATCCCCTATTGTTATTTTAATTTACTTTTAAGAGCGTCGGTGGATCAGGTGTCAAGCACTTGACTTGCAATCTGCAGGTCCTGGGTTCGAATCCCGCCATGTACCAATGTGTTTTTCAAATTTTCGATTTACATATGTACATTTATCCGACGTTCTTACGGTGAAGGAAAACATCGTGATACAACCTGCACACATCTGAGAAGAAATTCAAAGATATGTGTGAAGTCAACCCGCACTGGGCCAGCGTGGTTAACTATGGCCCAGACAGGCGTATAGAGTTACATTCGCATTTATAATATTTAAGCGATTCTCAAACACTCTGGCTATTTCATCAGTGGAAGCCCACTGTAAAATAGCTCTGTACTGTAAATAACCACAAGCCTTAATTTTCCTCGATACGGTTTCCATGTTGTAACCGAATGACGTAAAAGATTAAATGACGCAGAACCTTATTGAGTTAAGGCTCTTCGTACCCAAGGCAACATTAATTTAGAATTTCCCTGAAAATTTGTATGGAGACTACATTAAAATCGCCGATAATTCAGCTATCAGACAAATGCCTCTATATCTCATAGATTATGTGTCTACGATGTTTTTGGCATACAGCATATCACGGCTACTGGAGTTTTAAGGTTTTAAAATTCAGTAAATTGGTGATTTTTGTCAAAAAGTTACCTGAGACAAAACTGTAGATTATAAAATTCTATATTATAATACCTTTTTTTCTTTTTATATCATAAAGTGGCAAACTAGCGAGCGGCCACCTGAAATCGCTGAAATAGCGAAGTGACCGTTACCCATAGATATACGCAATTGCATATACGTTGCCTACTTTTAATCGACGACGGAAAGGATGCACAGAGAGAAAAAATATTTTCCCTTCCCATGCATCCTCTCATCCGGAAAGTCCACTTATACTTCCCATCTTTACCTTATAAAAAAGGTGGGAAGGGAATGAGGACTAAATTAGGCGGAATTGCTTCCACTTGACGCCTGTCTTCTGTGTGGTCGTGGTATTTCACTGAGCGAGCCGGGACAATTCGTGCGAACATGTTAAAGCGGGTTCTACCACTGTTATTTACTTTTTTATTAATGCCAACGTTATATACACTTAAAGAAACATTATGCGACACGGGAATTAAACCTTTTAACAGTTGAAATCGATCTACATATTTATACTCCAAATCACAATGGACGGGACATACCTTTGAAAAACAATACACTATCATTCGGGGAAAAACAAACGTCATCGTGTCTTTTACTTACATTTATCGAAAAATAACAATAGATAATGTGTCAACAACCTTTATATATTTATTCTGACGTGCATAAGAGCAATAAACTTACGTGTTTAATATTAAAAAGCGGTAAACAAGAGTCTTACTAATATTATAAATACGAATGTTTACATAGATGTTTGTTAAAGGTATCTCCAGTACGGCTGCATGGATCTCAATGAAATCTTACTAATATTATAAATGCGTATGTTTAGATGTTAGAAGATATTTCTAGAACGTCTGCATGGATCTCGCTGAAATTTGGATTATATGTAGAACATAGTCTGGTACACATACTATTTTTTTCCGCGCGTACGGAGTCGCGGTCGACAGCTAATTTGTCATAGATGTAGAACATAGTCTGGATGAACACATAAGCTACTTATTAAGACGCGAGCAAACTATTCAACACTATACAATAAATTTTCAACTTTATTACATGTGAGTAGAATACAAAGTGGTACATCAACGTACAAACAAGTTTGAAATGAGGTCCATCTGTTTGTCGTGACGTGCTAGCAATCACGTACACACGTGTTACGTTATAGTACAACTAGCTATCGCTCGCGATTCCGTCCGCGCGGAATAAAATAACATATTTATAAGCCAATGTGTTCCAGACCGTATGCCATATTTCATCGAGATCTGGATATATTCAAACAAACATCTAAACATTCGCATCTATAATATCATTAACATAAGAGACTATGAAAGAGTCACATGAACTCAAAGATTTTAAAATTTTGTCAAGACTATTCGTTTTTTAAGTCCAAAAAAAACTATACAAATCAAAGTAATATAAATGCAATTATTTAGATGTATGGATGTATGTTTGTTAGAAGGTATCTCCAGAGCAGCTGCACGGATCTTGCTGAAATTTGTCATAGATGTAGAACATAGTCCGGAAGAACACATAGGCTACTAATTTCTGTTTAAATTCGAAGTTACAGGCTATATCTTATTAATAGTATTACAGGGCTACGGTTGAAGACTTAAGAACGTTTAAAATAGAGAATCCACGCCTAACATAACAATGCGAGATACAGTGAAAGTTACTTACGCCCCACCGCGCACTGTGTGAAATTTACACCTCGTTAATAAAACATTAGTGATGGGAATTATGTCGATATTTTTTAAACGTCCGATAAATCTATAGTCTATATTATAAATGCGAAAGTTTAGATGTATATCTTGAGAACAGCTCAAAAGGTTTAGA